TGTACATGAAATACTTAATTCAATGCCATAGAGTAGAGCTAAGCTTAGTAGGCAGATTCTACAGGAGGAGTCAGTGGAGAGAATATGGGACAGGTGAGGATATCAGGAGACTTGGGGTGGGGATAGAAGGACTGCACCCTGCTAACTATAGGCTCTCTGATAAAAACAGGCAGGGAGCTTAGAATAAGTAGAAAGGCTGGATATAGTGTTTATAGTGGCGCTTTTATAGTAGAGCCACAGAAATGAGCCACCACAGGGCATGAGTTTTCCAATGTAAGACAGCTAGCACAAAATTATTATGACTCTGTTTGAAACCATAATGTAGTTAAGCTATATTTACCACATAACCTAGCAATTCTATTCCTAGGTATATACCCAACAGAAATAAAAATCATTGAATTAAGTTTCCACATCTATAAAAACAGGGGTTTAGTTACATGGAAATGCAAAACACCTTAGAACAGCCAAAACAATTCTGAAAAAGAACAAAGTAGGAGGACTTTCACTTCCTGATTTCAAAAATTACTATAAAGTTATACCTATCAAGACAGTGTGGTACTGGCATAAGGGTAGACAGAATTTGGTACTGGCATAAGGACAGTAAGTACTGTGCTTCTTTAAAGAATCACCTATATGAGACCAAACAGTCAACAATTACTTTAAAATAAAGATAAGAATGTAAGGGGGCAGGGAAACTAGATTAATGGAAACAGAACAACCAGATAGAAATAATGAGAATGTTTACTCATTGTGAAGAATGTAACCAATGTCACTGAACAACTTGTATAGAAGTTGTTGAATGGGAACCTAAACTGCTGTGTAAACCTTCACTGAACACACAACAAAATATTATTAAAAAAAGAATATCTAAAATAAAAATAAACAGACAATAACAAATGTTGGCAAGGATATAGACAAATGGGAATTCTCATACATTGTTGGTAGGAATGTAAAATGGTGCAGCCACTTTGGAAACAGTTTCTTAAGCTATATTTACCACATAACCCAGCAATTCCACTCCTCGTTATATACCCAAAAGAAATAAAAAAGTACATCTATACAAAAAGTTGTACACGAATGTTCCTAACAGCATTATTCATAATAGCCAAAAAGTGGAAACAACCCAAATGTCCATCAGTTAATGAATGGATAAACCAAACGTGGTATAGCATATCCATACAACAGAATACTATTCAGCAATAAAAAGGAATGAACTACAGATACATGCTACAGCATGAACGAACCTCAAAAACATGCTAAGTGAAAGAAGCCTGACACAAGAGACCACATATTGTATGATTCCATTTCTAGGAAATACACAGAATAGACAAATCCACATAGACAGAAAGTAGATTAGTGGTTGCCAAGGGTGAGCAGAGGAGGAGGTAGGGAATGGGGATTAACAGTAAATGTGCATGAAAGATCTTATTGGGGTGATGAAAATGTTCTAGAAGTGATTTATCATGATAGTTGCACAACTTGGTAGATTTACTAAAAAAGTAATTGAACTGTACACTTGAAATGAGTGAATTATATGATATGCAAGATATGCCTCAATAAAGTTATTTTGTAAAAACTGATTTTCAAGTTACAGAATGGCAGTAGTGGAGAACGAGTTGTCATCAAATTTGCACGCTCTTAGGCCTAACCTGCCTAAGACAATTCAACTTTAAAAGTGAAAACTTTCCACCAAGCCTGGGCTTAAAGAAATCTAGATCTTTGATCTTTAAGTTTAAAAGATTCCACTCAGGAATCTTTAAGTGGAGATTCTTCCTAATTCACAGGCTGGCTTCTTCCTCAGTTCAGGCCTGCTCTGAAAAAGAGGTCTGGTTGCAGGTGATGGGTGGGATGAGGGGGAGGGAAGTGGGAAAATGGGGGGTGGGTTGCTTCTTTTTACTTGTAGTTTAAATTTATCACAAGAACTCTGAGAATGCCTTAGGCTATGTGTCTTAGTTATCTAGTGCTGCTGTGACGGAAATACCACAACTAGCTTTAACAAAAAAATTTATTTTCTCACAATTTAGGAGGCTAGAAGTCTGAAATCAGTGTGTCTTAGTCATCCAGTTCTGCTATAACAGAAATACCACAAGCGGATGGCTTTAACAAAGAGCAGTTTATTCTCTCATAGTCCAGTAGGCTAGAAGTCAGAATTCAGGGCGCTGGCTCCGGGGGAAGTCTTTCTCTCTCTGTCGGCTCTGGAGGAAGGTCCTTGTCATCAGTCTTCTCTTGGTCTGGGAGCATCTCAGCACAGGAACGTCAGGTCCAAAGGACCCGCTCTGCTCCCTGCACTGCTTTCTTGGTTGTATGAGGTCCCCGTGTCTCTCTGCTCGCTTCTCTCTTTTATATCTCAAAAGAGATTGGCTTAAGACAGTATCTAATCTTGTAGATCTCATCAATATAACTGCCACTAATCCATCTTATCACATTATAGTGATAGAATATACAACACATAAGGAAATCACATCAGATGACAAAATCGTGGACAATCATACAACACTGGGAATCATGATCTAGCCAAGTTGATAGATATTTTTAGGGGATACAGTTCAATCCATGACAGGGCACCAACCCTAGGAGAAGGTTTTCTCTCTCTGTAAGCTCTAGGGGAAGGTCTTTGTCTCTTCAGCTTGTTTCCTGGTTCTTTGGAGATCTCCATGTGATTGGCATCTATCTTCCCCCATCTCTGCTTGCTTACTTGCTTGTTTAATGTCTTTTATATCTCAAAAGACACACCCTACACTATTCTGCCTCATTAACATAAAAAAGACAACCCATTGCTAAATGAGATTATAACCACAGGCATAGAGGTTAAGATTTACAACATATATTTTGGGGGATACAATTCAATCCGTAACAGTATATCTGTAGTACAAAAGTACCAGAAGGTGCCAAGTAGGCCAACACTGGATGGGATGAAATCAATGGGTCTAGGGTAACTGAGTTAGAAACATCAAGAATGAGCAGAGGGATCTTTGATATTTGCTGCCTTGCCAAGCAAAAACAGAGCTGAAGCCACTACTGGTGCTTGGCCAAGCTCTCACAGACAGAACAAAAACAGGCAATTTGCTGAATCAAGTCAATGTAATAACCTATTCTCAGTAATGGTAACAAAATCTGCTGTATTAAACAGCAATCCACAGATCTAGACTATGAAGGCAGCTCCAAGTTCAGGATTCTAGCACAGAGCCATCACATACAGCCCAATATTTGGGGCAAGCTGTGCCACTCTGCTATCCTTGGGACAGATGCATTTTACTTTCAAGGGACCTTTCTTTCTGTTTCTTGTCTGAGAGGTAGGGAATGTAGGAACACTTGTGTGTATTGTGATTGTGTGTTTGTGTGTAGGGAAGGGAGTTTCTTTTTCTTACTTGTATTGTTCTGGGTGTTCATCTCTTCTGGTGTTGAACTCCAGAGAAATTTTCGCATCCAGTCCAATTCCAAAATAGTTGTTCATGACACATCTTTCTTTGAAACATCTGAAATTAGCCAAAGGGAAGAACACAGACATTGTTGCAGGAAAGAAGTGCCGCTATCATTGGGTTGCAGGCTTCATCTGCATGATCGAAAGCCTCCTCCATGTTGGACAAAAAAAAGTTCTTGAGAGGCACATGTAGATGCCCTATTGTGTGAACAACTAGCTTGTTAATTCTAAGTGAGGGCACCCAGCCAGTTGGGAGGATTGAGTAAGATTGGGTCTCATAATAAAGAAGCAACATTCATGATCTTTAGTCATCTTTGGAGGCCCTCAGGTATAAGTGACCAATATTTTCACCCCATATAATAAAGAAAAGGAAGTAGAGTCATTCCCTTATTCTCATAAAGGACTTTTGAGCATCCCAGATAAAAACATATCATGAGAGTTAAGTCTGTACTGCTCTCAGAGATGTTGACTCCCTTATAGCACTTTCACATCAAAGGGCAAAGTGAGCACACAGTTTGGGGAAAAGATTGATAAAAGAGGGTAGATAAATAAACAACAAAAAAAGGTCAGGCAGTTTTTTTGAATCCCTTGCATCCATATGGTAGGTGACTTAATGAGTACCTCCTCCCAGCCGTCAACATCAAAGCTAGTGGTATGCTGGAGCCAGTTCATACCAGCTCATGTAAGCTGATTATGCATGTCTCTTCTCAACTCCGCATTCAGTGACATCACATCAACAGCTTGAAATTGGTGATGGTGGGAGGATTTACACCAAGAATATATCAAGGTTGTTACCCGCCCCCTTAGAGAGCTAGCTGTTAAACAGTTGCCAATATAACACTGATCAAAACTCATTAGGTAAGTCCATGAAACCTCAGACATGAACTTAAGCCAATGGTGAGGTGGAGGTAGGAATAAATAGGAAGCTCCAGAAACTTTAAGTAATTTCTAGCTGTGTCCTTTTGAGAAACTGAAAGTGGGTACAGTTCAGCTACTCAATCATAGATAGCTTTTCTATTCATTACTAAGCTGACCCCACATCTCCCACATGAGAACCCCCACGTTCCAGAAATTAGGGATTCTTTGATGTCCAAACTGATCTTCTTAATGGAACTCAAAATGAGTGAGTGTGGTGGGGCTTGGCTGGGAATAGTCTAAAGAGGTAGGGCTATTGAGACAGACGTCCTTAGGTTTGCTTCCTAGTCTCCTAATGTTTATTTTTTTTAGCATCTCCAACCACTTAATGTTAAAGGCAACACAATAGAGAAACAAGTCTTCTGAAATAACAACAAGAACTAACATTTATTAAGTATTTATAATAATAATAACTGCTACCACATATAGCACTTAATTATGAGTGCCAAGCACTGCTCTAAGTACTTTGCATATATAAACTCAACAAATACAACAAACCTAAGAGGGTATGTCCTACAATTCACTCCATTTTACACGTAAGGACTCGGAGTCACTTGCCTAAGATCACACAACTAGTGGAGTCAGGATTTGACTCCTGGTATGTTGAGACTGTGCTCTTAACCAAAGAAAAGAAGAAGCCATAAAAAGGTGATAGGGTTAATACTTACATCGTTTCAGGCATAAAATGCAGGTGCTTCAAGTTGAGGTTATCCAGGTCCTCACTTCTGAGAGAAGATATAGAAGACAAAACGCTATGACGAGAACCTGGACAAAGAGGCATCACATTGGTGTCAGATGCAAACAGGAAATCCCTCTTCCCTGGTCGTATTTAACGCTGCTATCTCTGTGGGACAGGGTTAAGATCAGTGACTTTCTCATACATAACATTCAGGCAACACAATAGAAAAACAAGTTGTGTTGTTCTCATTCCAAAGAGTGATCTGCTTAGAGGGACAGGGACTTTAACTGAGAGAATATTAAGGCCAGGCTGCTGACTTGCTGGCAGTGAAAACAACTTTAAAACTTAGGTTTCATCAGGCCAACATTTTCAAATGGCTAATGGGGTCATTTCTTTGGGGGAAGGGTATCTTCTGGACTGTAGGATTATGGCTAAAGGAGGATGCATGAAAACATATTTTTATTTTCTGGGAACTAGAAGACATTTATGAAGGATAGAATGAGAAAATAAGAAGAGAAAGTTCCTTACTGTGTCTTGGGCTTTTCCTATTAGTATCTTCTGAGTCATCTCCCAGGAAGAAAGTTGAACTAAAGTTCTTAACTGATATTGTCTGTCTGCTTTCCTCATCCAGAACTATAGAGGAAAAGGGCAAGGAAGAAAGGAAGGAAGGGAAGAAGGAAGGAAGGGAGGGAGGGAGGAAGGAAGGAGGGCAGGGAGGAAGGAAGGGGGGAGGGAGGGAGGAAAGAAGAAAGAAAGGGAGGGAAGGAGGAAAAAAGGAGGGAAGGGAGGGAGGGAGGAAGGAAGAAAGAGGGAGGGAGGAAGGAAGGAAGGGATCGAGGGAGGGAGTAAAGACAGAAGGGAGTCAATGAGGGAGGAAGGAAGGAAGGGAGGGAGGAAAGGAGGGAGGGAAGAAGAAAGGGAGGGAGAGAGGAAGGAAGGAACAGAAGGAGGGAGGAAGAGAGGGAGGGAGGGAGCAGGGAGGAAGGGAGGGACACAACAGAGGGGGAGGAAGGGACAGAGGAAGGGAGGGAGGAGAGAGGGAGGGAGTATTTGTTACATTTATTGAGCATCTGTTGTGCTTAGTTAATACCAACCAACAAGTGGTTGGATAACAGAGAGTCACATTTGACTGTCATCTCTCTTCCAAGATGCTGTTTTTAATTTAAGCTTCCTTAACATTGTTGCCCTTGTGTCTCTTCATATCCGTGCCTGAAACTTATGTTTTACTGGCTACTCTTTTTCTATCACCCAGTAAATATGGTTGTGAGTAGAAGCTCTAGGTAACAGGGTGAGAAGCCCTCTGCTCTTCTACCTCCATTCTCACTTCTTTGTTAGCTCATTTACTCACTTGACTTTTGTCTAGACATTCTCTGTCCCATGGCCACAAGCTGTACCTCTAAATCTGACAAAAGAGTTGATGTAGCAGGCTGAGGGTCGACTGTGACAGGGCTATGACTACATCAGATTAATCTGATATCCACTACTTGGAAAGTACAGAAACAGAGGAAAACTGTTTAATTCTTTCACAGTGTAGAAGGGAGATTTCTGTTCTTTTCTGGAAACTTGGCTGAGGTTGTCCTTAAAGGTACTGTCTTAGTTATCTAGTGCTGCTATAACAGAAATGCCACAAGTGGGTGGGTGGCTTTAACAAGCAGAAATTAATTCTTTCACGGTTTAGGAGGCTAGAAGTCTGAATTTAGGGCATCAGCTCCAGAGGAAGGCTTTCTCTCTCTGTTGGCTCTGGGAGAAGGTCCTTGTCTCTTTTCAGCTTCTGTTTCCAGGTTCCTTGGAGATCTCATGTGACATGGCATCTATCTTCCCCCATCTCTGCTTGCTTGCTTGTTTGCTTGCTCAGTCTGCTCTTTTATATCTCAAAAGAGATTGACTTAAAACACATCATATGCTAATACTGCCTCATAAACATAACAAAGAAAACCCATTCCCAAATGGGATTATAACCACAGGTATAGGGATTAGGATTTACAACACATATTTTGGGGGGACATAATTCAATCCATAACAGGTACCAAGGCAGCGGGAAGTGCCATGGCTAAAATTAAAGGCCAACCAAAGGAACTACCTTGCTGCATGGGACTTCTGCTCAATTCCAATAGCTCAGGTATAATAGACTTGGTCTTATACAGTCTTATGATCTATTTTCAAAGAAGCAGTATGGAGAAGAAGTAGCAACCAATATTTTAAATGAAGAAGTTGGAAGAGTTTTCATACTAAGTTGGAGACTTGCAGATTGTCATCAGTTGTGGGCAATGGCAATCAATGACATAACTTCCAGGACCACTCTCAGGGCCCTTGTGCCTGATTAATACTGTGCAAGACATATAGAGATTGTCTTAGTTATCTAGTGCTGCTATAACAGAAATACCACAAGCTGATGGCCTTAACAAAGAGAAATTTATTCTCTCAGTCTAGGAGGCTAGAAGTCTGAATTCAGGTTGCCAGCTCCAGAGTAAGACTTTCTCTCTCTGTCAGCTCTGGGGGAAGGTCCTTGTCCTCAATCTTCCCCTAGTCTAGGAGCTTCTCAGTACAGGAACCCCAGGTCCAAAGGACACGCTCTGCTCCTGGTGCCGCTTTCTTGGTGGTATGAGGTCCTCCTGTCACTCTGTTCACTTCTCTCTTTTATATCTCAAAAGATATAGATTTAAGACAAAATGTAATCTTGTAGATTGAGTCTTGCCTCATTAACATAACTGCCTCTAATCCTGCGTCATTAACATCATAGAGGTAGGCTTTACAACACATAGGCACATCACATCAGATAACAAAATGGTGGACAATAACACAATACTGGGAATCCATGGCCTAGCCAAGTTGACACACATTTCTGGGGACACAATTCAATCCATAACAGAGATGAACACCATTTTCTTTCTAAAAGTCACAGGAGCAGGTGGAAAAAAATTCCATGGCTGGTGGTGGAGGTTGACAGTGCTTTGAGCCAGGCCACTTAAGCAGCTATAATTGCTTAGGAGTTTTAATTAAAAAAATAAACGAGTTCCTAGGAAATAGGAGGAGCCAAAGGAACAACTTATCAAGACTGAAGCTTTTCAAATTAGAGTCTGAGGACTGACTCTGGGTGTTATGAGAATGCAGAAGCTAGTCAAGTTTTGGTAGTGAAATCAGATAGCAAACTTGGAGTGAGGGAGACCAGTAAACCAGCCACTGCAACTCTACCTTTCTCCTGCCTCAGTCACCACAACCCTGAGCACCTTACCTTGTTCAACCTGAAATACAAGGAGTTTCAAGGATTTCTGGAGATTCTGGGCCTTTGTGGCCAACTCCAACTTGCACCTGGATATGTGGTCTAGTTGAGGGACCAAGCGCTTTCCATCTGCTTTGCCACTGTCTGGATGTACTGTTGTGGTTTTCTCAACAGGTGTAGCTGCTGCCTCCTCAGCCAGGACATCAATCAGGACATTGAGCTTATCATACATTAAATCACTCTAGACAGGGAGAAAGTAGATAGAGAATTGTTACGAGGGATCAGTACTTAAGAGGACAGAATGAGGAGTAGGGGCAGCATGGGGTTGGGAGAGGGGGGAAGTTGGCCAGGAGGACTGAGCATAGAAAGCCACACGTGGTGGGATGAAAGTTTGGGGAAAGAGGTACTTGGGTAGATGTGACCAGATAACCAAAAGGTGTGTGGGGATCAAATGCATCATTTGTTTCTGAGCACCTCAGCCATCAGTGTATGTTTCTGGGTCTTCCTCATGTCAGACTGGCTGGTAAAATGATGTGTAACATGGCAAATTAGAGGAAAGAAAAACATTTCTGGATTGGTGTTTTCATGGACATGCTCCTATGGGTGTCATGCGCCTTTGAGTGGGTCCCTGGTGTCTGCCTTTGTAGGTGTGTGTGTTTGGGTATGTACATCTGCTGCATGATTATGGCTTTGATTCTCAGCTTCACCACTTAATAGTTTGTGACCTGAAGCAAGTTACTTAACTTGTTCATGCCTCTATTTTCTAGGGCAGTTGTGAGGATTAAATAAGTTAATACATTAAAAGTGCTTAAAACAGTTGCTGGCACACAGTATATATAAGTGTTAGCTATTGTTGTTGCTGTTGTTATAGAGACGAATGTAGGTGCATTTCTAGTGTGTACTTTTTTAAATTTTATTTTTTATTTTTTATTGTTGTAGTTTAAACGAAGTTTACATTTCAAGTTAGTCTCCCATACAAAACTTTTACATGCATTGTTATGTGACCCTAACTTCTCTCCCCATACTGTGACAGCACACTCCTCCTTTCCACCTCTGACTTCCCATGTCCATTCCACCAGCTCCTAACCCTCTCTGCCTTCCCATCTCACCTCCAGACAGAAGCTGCCCATTTAGTCTCTTGTATCTACTTGAGCTAAGAGGCACATTCCTCACGAGTATCACGTTATGTCCCACAGTCCAGTCCAATCCCTGTCTGAAGAGTTGGCCTCAGGAATTATTTTAGTT